AAATATTATACTTATATTTAAAAAAATTAAACACTGTTTGTTGTGTACAATGATAAATTTCTATGTTCCCCAAGACATCAGCTTCCAATTTGATAATATAATCAATCATATTCACCTTTCTGTTTGAAATAATTTAGTGGAGGAGGGCATAAAAACCTTTTAAGCATGACAACTCAAGCGATTATAGAGGTGGGGCCAGGCATGATGGCGCACACCTTTAGTCCCAGCACTCAGGGAGGCAGAGGCAGGCGGATCTGTGAGCTTGAGGCCAGCCTGGTCTCTAAAGTGAGTTCAGGACAGCCAGGATTATATTACACAGAGAAATCCTATCTTGATAAACCAAAAAATAAAAAAATAATAAAAGCAATTGTAGAGAAAAGTTCTGAGTTCTTAATCTAAATATAAATTCATGTCACATGAAGCCAAATCTGCATTATTTTCTAAAAGAAGAGAATAAAAGTAATTCAAGAGAATTTATGGGGTGTGAAGAGGGCTGGGCTCTTTTGTCTTGGCTCAATTCTAGAGATTACTAGATATGATACTGATAAGACAAGCAGAGGCCTAGAAGTAGAGAGAAGAAATAGGAAGAAATTGCTACTTAGCTTGAATGTCATCTTAAGACCACAAGGCAATAAGCTAAGATGACTAAAGAGAAAGACAAATGACAGCACTGTAGAGAACCATACTGCCCCAGACAGTCTACATCTGATTTCTCACTACACAGGAAATACTCTCTAATTTGTTGGTTGGCTGTTTTGTGAAGTTAGAATATCTCAGCCTTGGATATAGAGTAAATTTAAAGCCAGTCTGGAAAATAACTCAAAAAAAAAAAAAACCCAAACCAAAAAAGGGTATGTATATGAATATACTTACTGCATATGTATGCATACACAATTCACCTATTCTAGTCACGCACAGCAAAAGGAATTGGAAGCACTCATATTCCAGTGGCAATGAACATAAGCTCCCAAATTTTTGTTATAAGAATCTATCAAAAGCAAGGCTCTTTGTAGAAATGCCTGATTTCAGGGGTAGAGCAAGCAAAGCACAAGATGAATCAGGAACAACAATTTATTCTGCAGGAAAGGAATGAACAGAGAAGCAGACAGGACTATGATAGACGGGTGTAGCAGCCAGTTTAAAGATGCTCCCCACAGCTAACCTGAAGACAACTGAAATAGCACAACAGTGAAAACAGTAACAATTCACAACACCTCACAAAAAGTCAAAGCCACTTAATCTCTAGTTAATAAAAATGAGAAAAGAGAAGCAGCTCTCAATAAGGTATCAACTACTACATGCAAAGGGACACAAATAGTAACTGCAAATCATCAAAAGTGGTTATTTTAGGTAGGAGTCATCAATGACACTAAGGCCAGCAAGTGAAGGGCTGATAAATGATTTTAGAGTTTATTTCTACAACTATATCTTGTTATGTCATCTGCTAGTGTCATGGTCTTGCACCGTATGCTTTATATGAAGAGCAAGGCATCTTTTTTGTCAGGAGAGCATCACTTGGCTGGGGGCATGAGAAAATATTTCTTAGTTCTAGGATGTGGGTTATGCTAGAAAATGCAGGCTTATACTTTACAAGTCTTAGAAGATAGGGAAACTGAGCCCAATGATGTCTGGCATAAAAGTAAACACAGTACATATTCCTAAGAAGGTGGTGTGCTGGTTGCCTATCAGTGCTTTGTTTTAAGAAAGCAGACACTAGTATTTCAGGGTAAAGGCACACTTTGGAAGCTTCCGCAGAATGATAGAAAAGACTGATAAAACTGCATGTATTAAACATATGCACTTACACATGCAGACAGAAGTAGTAAGCAACTAAAGAAATGCAGCACAACATTAACAGTGAAGAAATCTGGGTGAAGGTATACAACAGCAGCTCTTTTTACTGGTAGCATCTCCTCAATTGGAAATTACTTCTAATTCAAGTAAGTTAAAATCATTTCAAAATTATTGTTAAAATTCTGAAAAGGTAATGTACAATACCTCCTGGTAGGAAAAAAACTGGGAGCCAGCTATCAATGTCTGGGACCAGAGACAGAATGAAATTTTGGTTTAGAGCAGTTATGTATCTCCCTTTATTATACTAAATGGATATATTAACAAGGAAAGCAATACTTCTATACCTTCAGTGTACTAAAGGCATCTAAACAGGCTTTTTCTTCATTTATTTTCAGTGGCATTTACAGTCCAATGATAAAGAAAATCTTGATTTGTTCATCTTTATAGGCCAAGCATCAAACAAATCTATAGTTTTGTTAAGTAGGGATTCTAATGCCTTTCCAACCAGAAACCTGAGTAATATCAAAGACTTTTTACTACAAGTGAAGCCGAAAGACTATGTATGAGTTTCAAGTATGTGTATGTATGCAGTAACTTGAGTAATATCAAAAAGTTTTACTATAAGTGAAACTGAAAGACTGAGTTTCAAGATAAGTGCGTGTGTGTGTGTGTGTGTGTGTACGCTCACACATGTGACAGAACAGAAAAAACGGCAAATGCTGCTGTCTTTTCAGAAATCAAGAAGTATTAATGATCTGTTCTATGACATCAAGGACAGAAAAGCATGAAATTAGTAGTAAAAGGCACTGGCCAAAAGAAGAGCAAGCTCTTAACAGACTTTGATTTTTAAACATGAACAAAATGTTTATAATACAAATGAAGCACTAGGAGAAAAGCGTTAGTAGTCGTAAGCTATGCTTCTAGAAAAGTTAGGGGCTCCAAGAAACTGTTAGATTGAACTGTATCAAAATGCTACTGGGCTGTATATCCTTCTAATAACAGGGGTACAATAACTTTCAAGTCTGAAGGAGTATTTTCAATGCAGAATCAAAATCCTCTAAGACATTTAGGTAGAATCACAGTCAAATGTTGGTAAATTCAACAAGAAAGGGAATCTTGATGCACTTATCCTTGTGGCAGCAGAACACTAATCCTGATCTTCACACACAGTTCAGTAAAGGTTGAATGAAAAGAGGTTTAAAAAAAAGAAGCAGGAAAGTAAAGTATGTAGAGTGGGAGGGAAGAGGCAGTTTGAAGAGAATATACTGTAAAGTAGAAAAATCACTGTTCCTCAAGTTAGGTCACTGTGAAAAGGTAAACAAGGTATCTAAGCATTTTTAGGATGATATACAAACTCCTCCAGGCTGAGACAATTCTGAGCTAACTCTCAATATTTGAAAGTAACACTTAAAAATTTAACCTAGATGAATGAATAGTGCATGTACCCTCAAAAGGAAAAAAATTACTCAAAATGCTGAGGAAAGTTTTTCACTCCATTCATGGAGATCAGAGAAACTTTATTCATGCTTTTCCATCAACTGAATTTCCTCATATACAAAAATAACTTTGATCTTTTACCTACAGGCTAGCAGTATAAATATATGTGTTTCACTTTCACAAGTGAGCACACCCAGGAAAAGAGGAGGAAAGACAATCTCGTCTCAGAAGTGAGGGTGCCACAGGAGTATAAAAGAGTGGCTAATAGAACTTTATCTCCATGGCTCACCATGCACCTGCTTATAGCCCTTATTTTATAAAACTACATACACTATTTTAGGACTCATTCATAGCATAAACTCAAGATTCCCAGAGCTGTGAGGAGACAAACAAAATAGGAAAAGTTGGTCCTATCTTCCCCCACGTCCCAAAGATAACAGAAATAAGCGGAATTTTCAAAAAAAAGGTTGTCCCATGTAACTGCCCATTCCCTCAGGAAAACACTCAAGTTGATTTAACAGAAAACAGAAGCCACACCTTCCACAATGCACTCAAGTCTGCACAGTGCTGGGCTTCTGTGCCAAATAAAGTACACTTCCAGACTGACTGTTGGGGTCTTCTGAGTCTGCTTCAAACTAAACTGGGAAGTGTAAAGTTACAAAACGAAACAGCCCAAGATCAACTGCTAAAAGATTTGTGGGGGTGACTAAATATATTTATTGTTCTTAAAGAAATAATAGTTTCCAAGAAAAAAAAATCACCAATGCCTTCTATACTACCTTAGTTTACAGAATAACAGAACCTACAACCCTACAACGTACACGGTAACATTATTTTTAGAATTATCATTTGCTTTCTACAGTCCCTTGAAAAGTAGTAACTGCATGAAGACACATGACAGCTATTGTCCAATCACTGGTAGTATTAAAATTATACTTTAATTTAATTTCTGGAAAGTTCTGCAAAAGCAACCCTAAAAATGCAAACTAAAATTTAATGAGGAAAAAGCCTAGTCAAACAGTAATCAAAACAGTAAGGAATTAACAGTATCCAAAGTACACTAACTAAAAATTCATATGTTTTCACATTCGGTCTTCAGATTTACTAGTAAAGCTTTTCGGGAATGTGGGTCGTTTCAACGCAAGATTTTTCAACATGCCATTCCATATGAATGAAGCTTGTGGGAATAAAACCTCTTCAGGAGATGGTTCAATTACAGCTCTAGCTCCAATTTCGTCCGACTCAAACATCAATGCACGAACAGTTCACACATACAGGGAGGGGAATAAGGGTGGAGAGGAGCGTTCATTCTTTTGTTTGGGTGGCAAAAGCAACAAATATAAAGGTTCAATGGTGCCATCTGCACCTATCCCCACCCATGACAGTCCTACAGAGGACTTTTAACCTATTCGCGCCTCACTACTTCAGGTCCCCGGAGTTAGTGGAATCCAAGGCTTTCCAGGTCCCAACCAGGGTTGCGGAGGTTCTGAGGTCCGGGGTTCTACAGAAAATGAAGGAGGGCACTGATCTTTTGAGGACAGAGGGACAAGGCGATGTAGACGTGTGTGGAGGATGGGACGCGCCGCGGAAACCGGGAGGCTTGCAAATTCGTGAGCGCGAGAAACCCCGTAGGGTAGACAGGATGCTGAGCCCGTTCGGGGAAGGGGAGAGAAGGGGCGACAGGCACACTCGCCAGAGACGCGGAAGGGCGTGAACTAGGCAGCTCGAGACTGCCTCGGCCAGAGCCGAGCCGCGAAGCAGAGACTTACGGTTACTTCTCCCGGCGGGGACCGGGGTCGCGTGGATCCCCTAGATCTGCAGGTCTTTCTCTGCCGCGGCCACCTGCCTCTCGCGCCGAGCGGGTGACCTCGGGTCCACTCCGCGCCCCACCCACCCGCCGCCAGCGGCTGCGGGAGCCGGAGGATGCGCGCTGGAGGCCCGCGGGAAGCGCTGCGCGAGCCCGACGCGCCCGGCGAGCTCACACTGGGCGGGCGCCCCCCATCTTCTCCCGCTGCGCGCCGCCGCTCTCCGGGTAGGGAGGAGGGGGCGGTGGCGCCTGCCTCCGCAGCTCGGTCAAGTCCAGAGCATGGTCGTGTCGTGTGCGCGCGCAGCCGCGGAGGCCGACCTCCCTTTGCTAGCGTCGGGCTCGGCTGTCGCCAACCCCGCGAGCTCACAGCTGCCCACTCCAGACAGCTGCGGCGGCGGCGGCACGAAGTGGCACGGACCGGCACGAACGGCGGCACCCCACAGACCGACCCGGAAGCTTTTCGGCCGCAAACCTGAAGCAGGCTTGGGGGCGTAACCCCGGAAGTTATTGCCCGGCGCCGGTAGCGGCGGGATGGCGAACTGAGGCCTTGGGAGCCGCAAGCTTGTGGAGAGGACGAAGGGTTCCTGGGGCCAAGGAGAAGGAAGGACAGTGGAGAACAGGTGCCCAGAGACCCGAACTCGCGGGGCGACTTCTGGTGACAGCCCAGGTGCTTCCTGCCACAGGAAGTGGTGTTGCGTCTCTGGGCCTCATAGAAAGGCAGAAGAAAGAGAAAACAGTGACGGGCTCCTCAACCCACCGGTTGCTGCCCCACCCTCTGACTTGGATGTAGCGGCTTGTGAGAAGGTCGGCCGCCCGCCCGCTCGGGTTAGTCTTCTCCATTTCCTTGGCGGAAACTAGGAAAGACAAGAACCAGACTCCAGGTAGAGAGAACGGCAGGGACCCCGAAGCTCTCCTACAAGGTTCTGCAGGCAAGGAGTGTTGTATCTTACAAGCAATTACCGAGAAGTCACGGTTGCCTTTTGGGTGGGAACTTTTGGGTCAGAGAAGCTTGCATTTTTCCCGATCGTGGAACACTGGTGGGTGGTGCCAGGGGAAGACTTCCCAGGCAGTGTTGTTGTCATTGTCGGGACAGTGACAGCTTATCGATTGTATCTATCCGAGTTCCTCGTTTACAGCTTTTGGCTTGCTTTCTTTGCTGTCCCCTCCCCTCGATGTTTGTAACTTCACCAGAAGCCTTTATGTGGCTGGCCTACCTCCATTCCTGTCCTACTCTCTTAGGGAACTTAACGTGTCTTTACTGTTTGTTTGCAAAACCCACTGACCCACAAAGGAATAATTTACCCCTGCTGTGGGCACTAAATGAAAATTGTATGCCTCTCCTTTCTCAATCTTAATGATAATCAAGTGTCCCGACTTAGTTCTAAAAAGATCGCAGACAGCCCTCCAGTTATGAACCATCACCACTTACATAAGTCCTCATTATTTAGGCAGTATACCATTCATGCCTGAACATTTTCTCCACTGCAATCAGCCATATAGCATATTAGCAATGCCTTTATTGCTTTACGGGTTTCAGCTGCACCAGCTTTACTTTCATGGCTGGTAGCTTTTGTTGTTTTCCTGGCTTCAACCTCTGTTTCTTCTTGTGTCATTGGAAGACTATTTTAAGTGCTCCAGAACAAATACTTTTTGAAATAAAATGTTAAGAACTTTTGCGAGAAATGTTATTAATAGTAAATTTATTTTATATATTTAAAATATATGATGGGAATTTAAAATATATAATGAGTATTAACAAATGAAACACTTTGTTAATAGACGTTTTCTTGTTATGAATTGATAGAGATAAGAATTAGTTTACTTATTGAAACAGATGGCTATAAGCTATTGTAAACAGGCAGCTTTTGTAGAAATTTACCAGCCTAAGTAGTCATAGACCTTGTAAATAGGTAGCCTTGGCAGACAATACCAACTTAGATAAGGACAAGTGAGTCATAGGCAGAGTCATAGTGACCTGTCCCCTGAACCCTTACCCAGCCGATACCCTGTTCTGAAAGAAATCTGTATTCCCCCTGAACACCCACACTCCAGTGTCATCCCCTTCCCCACATCCTGCCTTTCTGTGTTTATAACCCCTGAGTGAATGAATTACGATTTGAGAATAAATAAATAAATTATTTTAAAAAAAGAATTAGTTTACTTTAAATTCTGGGTAGAAAGTTAACTACTTAATTTCTCCTTGAGGTAATTTATAGAAAGCATCGTTTTCTATAATTGCTTTCTATAAATGCCATGTGCTTTGTACAGTGTCTATAATACAGTGTCTTTTTTGGAGGTTTGCAGTCTTTAAGGCATCTATATGTATGTATATATCTTATTGTTTATAGTTTATTATATTTTAGTCAGTGTTAATCTGAGATGAAAAGCAGTTGCTAAACAGGAATTTTTTAGCTTCCACTTTTTCTCTGTCAGCAGCTCTTTTGTATGTAGTGGATTTTTAGAATGTTCTTATTAAAATTTTTGAGCTGAAAAAAAATTCCACAAATTATGGAATGAATCTGTCCTCAGAACTTTAAACAAGATGAAATGTCTTCATCCTAATGTTCACTCAAGCTTCCTCAAGGAAATGCCTTTAGTTTCCGACTGTCCCTGTCCTGCTGCCTGGCTTTGGGACCCTTTCCTCTAACTCAGCTGCCTCTTCAGCTCAACAGGAGCAGATGCACATAGGCTTAGTGCAGTTTGATTTGAAGGTTGGTTGATAGCCATGGGACATCTCCCTCCCCTTTTCTGAAGAGAAAAGGAATAGGGGTGGGGGAAAGAGGAAGAAAGCTCTGGGAGGGGAGGAAGGAGGGAAAACCTTAGTTGGGATGTAAAGTAAATCAATTAAACCATTGAAAAAAAGAAATACCTTTAGTTTCTTTGATACAATGGAAACTTTTGTAACTAAAAATTTTTTTTGTTAACACAAATGTTTGTGAAATAATACTTGCTAAGCTTTTAGACTAAATTTTATTTAAAATACCAGAAGTTATGAACTTTAAAAAATTTTTCATTTTAATGAAACTTTGAAAAATAAGACAATTTTAAATTTTAGGAAAGTGAGTTAGAGTATCAGAGTGACATCAGTTGGCTCTGAGAAAACAGAATAAATGTGTATCCGTCCTCTCGAGGAACATTTTCAGCCCTTTTTTGAAAATGCTCTTTTTCTCTTTTTTTCTCTCCTGGGAGTTGAAGCAATAAGGGACTCTTTAAAAATGAAAAAAACATTTTAATGCCTAATGGGCCTTTTAAAAAATTGAAGAGAGTCCATGTCAATGTAACTAGAAAAGAAACTCTTTGGTTGATGTTCTTTTAGGAACTTATTGGCATATAACTCAGGGAACCTTTAAAAGCCCAAAAGCTCAGTCCAAGAGAAGCATTTTAGTATAGCTGTGAAAAAGTAATTGCACTGACAACGAGAACATTCAGCAGTCACATATACAGCTGAAATTCAATTACTTTTTCCAAAATTGCCCAATGAAGACTTAAAAATAGTTTGGGGGGGAACAGGGAGGGTTACATTCATCAATACAGTGAATTTATTTAGAAGAGCAACTTTGGATTATCTAGAGAATTGACAACACAGATGGAAAAGATTTCTTTTGTCAACTGACCAAATGGTTCATTCAGATCTATAATGGGCATCTCCGAAGAAAATTATAAACCCTAGGTTAGGTCATCCAAATGACTAAATCAAATATTTTCTTGTTGAAAGTTATAGAGTGTCAGTAATATAAAGCAGCCAGTTACTCCCAGATTACAAACTTAGCATTTATCTGTATACTGTATATGAAATAAGAGTACATTATTCTGAACCCCTATTTCAAGTCATTTACTTTATAAGATATTTTATAATTGTACCACCTTTTTAATTCCTGAATTCTTGATTCTTGATGATAAAGATAGAATTAATCTCTTGCTTGCCTTTTAGGTATTATATATTGTAAGACATAAAAGTCAACATTCTATAATTTTTTTTCAAAGTGAATATAAGAAAATAAAAGTTGTTGTACTAGGATGTAATGCTTTTTTTTTTTTTACCTTTCCACCAGTTATGTCATTTCCTCTTCCAAGGAACTTTTTGTTTGTTTTATAACGCAATGGGAAATCCAGAAAACATAGAAGATGCATATGTTGCGGTTATCCGTCCAAAGAATACTGCCAGTCTCAACTCTCGGGAGTATAGAGCTAAATCCTATGAGGTGAGAAGATTTGATAACATTTAATTCCTACTATTGAATGTCATTCTGTATGACCATGTACACATAAAGCATTATGACCATATGCTATAATTATTATTAATAGGCTAGTTAATATAGCTCTGTATCCACTTGTATTTTTTCTGTGTGCCTTTCATAATTTGGTATTCATTTACATATGTAGATTATTAGATTAAAAAGTTATTTGAAGACTGAGATGTAAACCACGTGATAGAGTACTTGGCTAGCATAAATGTCTGAGTTTGATTCGTAGCACTGCATAAAACCAGTCAGGGTGGACTTGGACTACCTAGGGAGCTTGAGGACAGCTTGGGTGTGCATGAGACCCTGCCTTACAAGTGAAGGAAACGGAGAAAGACAAAGTCATGATTTTCTTACATTTATTTACTTAGATCTTTGTATAATTTATAGCATAACTCAAAAATTAAAAACTTAGTGAAAAAAAATCAATTTACTCAGCGTAATTTCTACAGTTTGCTTAAATTGCTTTTGTACTGTTATCCGAAGATATTTCCCAATCTTGTTTTCACTATCAGTTGACTTGGGAAGCTGCTAATGCTAGGAGCCCATTATGATTTAATAAATCCAGAGAGGAGACTAGCATTAGTATTATTTTAAAGGTCCATAGATTATTTTATAGTATGCACCTAGGGTTAAGAAAGACTGTCAGGCCGGGCGGAGGTGGTGCACGCCTTTAATCCCAGCACTTGGGAGGCAGAGGCAGGTGGATTTCTGAGTTCGATGCCAACCTGGTCTACAGAGTGAGTTCCAGGACAGCCAGGGCTACACAGAGAAATCCTGTCTCGAAACAAAAAAAAGAAAGAAAGAAAGGAAGGAAGGAAGGAA